GGGGGGGGGGGTCAAAAAGTCCCAAAGATTATATTTGAACAGCCCCATATATATATAACATTCCTGGTTTGACTATTGCGGGTCCAAGATGTGAACAGCATCTTTATCTCCAGTTCAGGACATAGCTACATACAACATTCCATATGATGTGAAAATACTGTGCATGTGAGATCTAGACCAACAATACGAAGAGACTGGCGCTTTTTTTAGATCAAGGCCCAAATAAGGGGGTTGGGACGAAAAAGCGCAAAAAAACTACCTTTTACTTTTATATTCCAACGAAAACAATTTCCCATCAGACCATGCTTTGAGCTGCTTTGCCATTAGGCCTACAATTAATAAAGCTCAGGGACAGTCTCGGTGCTTTTTCGATAGTTCCCATTCCCCTTATTTGCGGGGCAGCCCTATGTTCCCTAGCTCCTAGCTCTATGTTCCCTAGCTCTAGATCTAGATCTACTATTTATAGTGAACGACACAACACAAGCGCCAGTCCTCCATCTTGATCACTTGATGCACTCTGCCTGTGGGTTCCGCCCTAATTACAAAGTTACGTCCCCTTGCTGAAAAAACCCCGATGTCATTCGTCAGTCGATGTCTTTATCTATTCTTTGTTATTGTTATCACTGTTTGTTTATGTTATACAAGGCTGCCACTCGTAGCTTTATTAAGCTAGGTACGGTTGCTTAATTTTGACCTAGGCTACATAGCTTGTAGCGTAAATTGGAAAAATTGACCAAACGTAGGCTAGCCTAAATTGACCTTCCGTAACATCATTTCATTAGTGGCTGTTCCACGACTTGAAACATGTTATAAATTTGACAATTTAAAATATTTAAAATTAAACTTTGGATTAGAGTGTGTTTGTGTTTCCAACAGAGTACTTTGCTCTGTGGTATTATTTTTGTATGCTTATCTGGCACCTCACGTTTGATACTTCATTCATTTAGCCTAGATCTTGGGGGGAGATTCTAACTCTATGATCTACATCTAGATCCACAAGCAATTTGGCAATGTGAAACTTTCACTTCTGGTAATTAGCCTACGCCTACGCTGCTGTGATGTGACTTCCCGCTCCCGTAACAAACAGAATGCAAAATGCAAAATAATGGCTTCTGGGCCTAGAATCTAGATCTAGATCTAGATCTAGATCTAGATTATATATCTCTAGAACAGTACTGTAGCTTGTCTACTAGCCTAGATCTAATTAGATCTAAAAATCTAGTCAAGAAGAGTCCCGAGAAAGTTAGTTTGGACCTGAATCAGACTTAGGTGACTTGCTTTCTTTACTCTACTTTTTTTTATTATTTAAAGTGTATTATAATATAAAATTTCAGTCAACATTCCAGGGACAGAGATCTAGCCTCACGGTCACTACGGATGCAAATAAAGTTAGATCTAATCTAGATCTAGCAGTTTCCATCAGCTCCTTCGTACCGTTAACTCTCCACCTAACTTTACATTTAGATCTAAACCAGGACGTAGTCGTTATAGAGACCTGCTTAAAAGTACATCAGACAGATCTCATGACAACGATGACAGCCAGTCACACAGTGACACACTTACTGTGAAATTTTCATTCTGCTCGGCAGACTGAATGTGTATACATCGATGTCCTTTGAAGTCATCCAGGTCTTTTCCGAAATGCGCCATCCTGAGAAGACATGAATCGACTGTGACACTCGGCTATTAAGAATGAACAAAATCGTTTTAGCTCAGTAGTACTCCTTTCTAGATCTAGATCTACTATTTATAGTGAACGACACAACACAAGCGCCAGTCCTCCATCTTGATCACTTGATGCACTCTGCCTGTTAAGCATGGGCGAAGTCAAGTCGAGATTCGGAATTCGGCGAATTCGTGGGGTCTGAGTCGGAGATCGAACATTGGGCAGGAGGACGA